AGCACTCGAACTATGTCTATTTGAGTGAGGAACAGAATTTTAAAACCTTAGTTTAATTATAATTTATATGACCAGTGGGTATTATGTTGGTCATCATAGGATTAGAGTGTAATAAAGCTGGAGGAAGAGAGTAAAGAAGAGGTAGAATAGAAACCATAGTATTTAGATGCAAAAATGCATGTCTGGTGTGTGTGTGTGTTTGTGTGTGTGCACGCGTGTGTGTTAGGAAGAAGCTGTAATTGGAGAGAGAGAGAGCAAAATAAGAAACAACTGAGAATAGGTAGAAAAATGAGCCAACATTTACTAGGCACTATAGCGTGGGTAATGAAAATTTATATATATACTTAGAATATAACATGTAAAGTATAAACTATCTGTGTTTTGGTGATGAAGACAGAAGAAGGGAGACGATAATTTGCCCTTAGTTCATATAACTAATAAGTGATGAGATATTTGAATTTGTATGTTTAAAACCGATGCCTATTCTGCTATACTAGTCCTGTTTTTTTTTTTTTTTTTTTTTTGCTATAGGGTGCTTGTGCTCACCAGACAGAAAGTGAGAAATCACTCCCCAGGGGGGATGGCCACGCTGCAATCCCTTCTCCGTTCTCCTCTCGGGATCTTGGGCACGCATGCACACACGCTCAGTGTGAGTTTTAAGCCACCGGGTCCGGGACACGAACCGTGGTTGACTATGTGGGAGTCCAGCAACATAGCCATTACATTAACTGATGGTCCCTGCTAGTCCTTTATCTGTTAGAGAGAAAGAGAGATTAATTTGAAAAAGCATAAAGGTAACAATTTTCTCAATTTTTCATGGTGAGTACTTGTTTTAAGGATTATTTTATTTAACTTTATTTATTTATTTTAATTTGACAAGAGAGGGACAGAGAGAGAGAGAGAAAGCAAGCTGCCAGGTCTGGGACTTGAACTGCAGTTGACCATGTAGGAGTCCAGTGCCCTTAACCACCACGTCATCTGCCAGCTCCTAGTATTTATGTTTTTATCCATGCTCTTTTATTTATTTACTTACTTGCTTACTTACTTACTTACTTATTTTTGGAGAGGTTTTTGCTGTAGATCACATATGCTTGTCAGAAAGACAGAAACAGAGAGACAGAAAGTGAAAAATCACCCCCTGGGGGGATGGCCACACCGCAATCCCCTTCTCCATTCTCCTCTTGGGGTCTTGGGCACACACACATACGTGCCCAGCATGAGTTTAAGCCACTGGGTCTGGAACTGAACCCCTGGTCGACTACATGGGAGTCCAGCAACATAGCCATTACACCAACTGCTGGTCCTGTATCCATGATCTTTTAAACTGTCAAAGCAATTGTTTCAAAGAGTGTATGAAGGCAATATCTGAAGTTCTAGAAGATTCGTATTTGACTAACTATTGTTAGAAACTATTTGACTAACTCTTGTTAGAAACAAGTCTGCTGTTACTAAAAACAGAATTTGGTTTTTAACCTCATAGGAGAGTGCTTTGCTCATCATTTTGACATGCTTCATGACATAAGCTTTTTATTGTTATTTTTCTCATGTACTTTTTCCTGCATTTATTTTTGCTTAAAATAAATTTTTCATAGGTTCTATATTGAGAAGATTTTTATTGCCACTCTTTTTTTCATTGGTGGTATTCTTCTTATAAACTGTTTGTAGGCAAACTAATCAATGTCTACAGACACTTATTAACATTCTTCTCTAGATCATGACTCTCTTCTTAGATAGCCAGAGATACCCAAAAACCCTATATATTAGAGGTTATCTTTTATATGGTTTTTTCTATTGGGTGCATGCACTGACCAGAGAGAAATAAAGTGAGAAAACACTCCCCAGGACAGTTGGCCACAGTACAGTCTCTTCTCATCCAATCTCTTCTTGGGATTTTGGGCATTCATACACATGTGTCTAGTGTGATTTTCAAGTTGTCAGGTCATGACTCAAACTTTATAGTTGGCCATGTGGGATCCAGAGCCTTAACTTCCATGCTAGCTACTGTCTCAAGGTTCCTTTTTTTTTTCTTAATCTCTCATATTATTGTTGATATTCTTATTTTTTAAGTTGATAGGGAATGTAAACTTTTTTTTTCTGTTAAATTTAGTGAAAGGTTGATTTTGTTTCCAATCTGTGATTTTAATGAATGTAGCATGGCTGCTACAATATTTAAGTCTTAAAATTTCATTCTCTGGTAGTTTGTAAACTTCTGTTTCCTCATTTCCATATTCTCATTTGGTAGTATTGGTATTTCTCTACCTGTCTGAAAGAGTTTGTTGATTTAAAAATTAGTGTCACATGTCTAAAGGTCACCTGTATCTTTATATATGAGGAGAGCTCAAAAAGTTCATGAAAAATGGAATTAAAGGATGAAACAATAAACTTTATCTCTCAATGTAAGATCAGTCAAGTTTAAAACTCTTTCGTAAGTGATAATACCAACCTTTTAGTCCATCTCAAGAGGACTAAGGGTCCTGGAAATTTAATCAGGTCAATGCACTCTTGTTTTACTTTACTATCTAAAGAAAAAAATGGGTGCGTGTACCCTCTACGTATTTTTTACGAGTAGGAAACAAAAAGAAATAAAAAAGATCCAAATGAGGACTGTAAGGTGGATGCCTAAGATTTCTAGTTAAAACCCTCAAAAATTTGCCCTTTTTTAATGAGAGGAATGAGTTAAAAACATTGTTGTGGTGGGAAAACACTCTCTGATAAAGCCTTCCTAGATGCTTCAGCTGAAGCTTTGTCTAACTTTCTCAAACATTCTCATAATAAATAAATGCTGTTGTTCTTTGGCTGTAGAAAGTCAATAGGCAAAATGCCTCAGCATCCCAGTTAACTTTTGCTGTGTTGTTTTCTCTTTACCTGGTCCACTTTTGCTTTGACTGGACCACTTCCTCTAAGTAGCTATTGCTTCCACTGTGCTTTGTCTTCAAAACTGAACTGGTAAAGTTATGTGTAATCTCCTGTTACACTTCTTCAAATAAATATTTCAGGATCTTGACTCCACTTGATTAAAATGTCCATTGAAAGTTTATCAGTTACAGATAAGTTTTTTCCTTATCTCTAACTGATCTAGGTGGAACACTTTTGACATTCATTAACAAAAAATTTCTCAACTCTTACTTTTCACTCAGAGTTGTATAAACTGAACCAGTTGAGAAGTCTGTGGTATTGGCTGTTGTTTCTTCTATTAATCATTGGCCCTCTTCAATTAGGATACAGACAAGATTTATGTTTCCATTATGAATTGATGTGGATGGTCTTCTGCTGTGTCTTCTTCAACATCATTCATTCTTAAAATGAGCTGTCCACTTGTAAACTGCTGATTTCTTTAAGGTGTTGTCTTGATTTCTTCTGGGCATTGTCTCAATAAACTTCTCATAAAACAGCAGTGAATTCACTACTCTTCCACTCAAACTTCATCATAAATTTGATATTTGTTCTTCAGTTTTAACAGAATTCATGTTGCTCTGATAGAAGCTCTCAATTTTTTTTCTTTCCTTTTAAAACATATTTTGCTAGAAGGCACATGAGAGACAAATAAAGAGGGAGAGGGAGAAGGAGAAAACTCCCCTCAAAGGGGTATGGTCACACCTGCAGTCCATTCTCCCTCTTTCAGGATTTCTCTCTCCTTTCAGGATTTTGAGCACATGTGCATACCAGCCCATCATGATTCTCAAACCACCAGGACTGAGATTTCCCAGCAGCCCATATGGGATCTGGCTTACCTTAATCAATAAGCTATGGGGCCAGTCTAGGAGTTCTTTTCAAACTGATATCATCCTTCTTTAAAATAGATCCTGTTCAGACATGTTATAACAAGTTAGTAAAAGTTTATTTTGGTGCAAGAAAAGAATGAAAATTCATGCATAATTTTTCATAATACACATTTATGAAGTTTTTAGAGAACCCTTCCCCCAGCATCCCTAATGAGACTTCAACTTAGTTGATCCAAACATATTTTCTCTACAGTTAGTGATTTCTTTTCAGGTTTATGTTTTTAACACTTATTTTGTAATTTATCAGTATGAAAGTAAGTAGGTAGCCTAGGGAGAATCGTGCTTATTTTACTACTTTTAAATCTTATGTTAAAAGATAAAGAGCCACAAAAAGATCTGCATATGAATGTTAATAGCAGCTTTATTCATAATTGTCAAAAATTGAAAATGACCAAGATGACCTTCAATAGGTGAATAGACAAATAACTATAGAATGGGATATTATGCAGCTGTAAAAAGAAATGAGCTGTCAAGTCATAAAAAGACATAAAGGAACCTAAAATGCCAATTGGTTAGTGAACAAAACCAGACTAGAAAACCACATTTATGATTCCAAGTATATGACATTCTGTGAAAGCAAAACTATAGAGACAGTGAAATGATCAGTTACTGTCAGGGGAAGAAGAGAAGAAGGAGAGATAAGTAGGTGGAACACCAGGGGTTTATAGAGCAGTAAAACTAATCTGTCTGATACTGTAATGGTGCACTATGGCATTATGATTTTGTCAAAATCCATAGAACCATACAACACAAAGGGTGAATCCTAATGTAAGCTATGGACTTTTGATGCTAATAATCTATTGATGTTGATTTGTCAGTTGTAACAGATACACCACACCAATACCAAATGTTACTAATAGGGGAAACTGTGTGGGGAGCGTGAGAATAGGAGAGAAGATATGAGAATTCTGTTCTTTCGGTGCTGTTTTGCTGTAAGCCTAAACTTATTCTAAAAGGTGAAGTCTTGGGCGTGGTGGCGCCCGCCCTATGGTAAAAGGTGAAGTCTGTTGGTTAGAAAAAGATATTGATAGTTGATGAAGAGCCCATAAATACTGACTCTACAAAGTAATCAAATAACCATATGTAGTGTAAAGAAAAGGAATAAAACAAACTATTTTGAATGTTTCTTTTTTAGTTAGCTGATTTTTATTCTGCCTTTTAAAAAAAATGCCTGTAATCAGTCATCCATGTGTCTTTTGTTTGTTTGCTTTTTGTTAGGTGTATTAGCTCTATCATGGTACCCACCTGAATCAAGTGATGAGAATGGAGAACCTACTGATGACTTGGTACCAACTATTTTGGAAAAAGCTCATAAATATAACCTAAAGGTATTTATTTTATTTTCAAGTTATGGATAGATAATTCTTTTGCACAAGAAAATAGTAATTACTATTTGGGGAGTAGTCATCTTAAATAAAAACTTAATGTGAAATAATGATAGGTTGTTTTAAAATCATACTATATTTGCTTCATAAAGAAAATTTCTCTAATATGAATTTCAACTCTTATCTAAATTATAGTAGTTTAGAGATCCTTTACTGTTTTCAAGCCATGATTTATATTGATTTATTTATTGTTTTAGCAGAAAAGTAATAGAAAAATTTTTTGTGAAGATAATATAGAAATGAATGAGTATTTATGAATTTAAATTTCTTAGACTTTGAGGATCTAAAAATCAAGTATTGTCAGGACCAGCAGTTAGTGTAATGGCTATGTCACTGAACTCCCATGTAGTTGACCACTATTCAAGTCCTGGACGTGGTGGCTTAAACTCACGCTGGGCACGTGTGCGTGCGTGCCCAAGATTCTGAGAGGAGAATGGAGGAGAAGGGATTGCAGTGTGGCCATCCTCCCTGGAGGGTGATTTCTTGCATTCTATCTTTTTGTCTCTCTCTTTCTGGTGAGCGCATGTGCCCTATAGCAAAAACTTCTCCAAAAAAAAGAACAAAAATCAAGTGTTGTAACCATGTTACTTTATATTTTTATAAAGTAGTTAGAAAAGCTGCTGCTCGAATACTTTTAAAATCTAATTTTTATTAAACCTTATTTAACATTTAAAATAAAACCCTATTTGCGTTTAAACCTGATTTAACATGCATACACATACACCTAGGTATAGAGTCCAGATCAGTCTGAAGACAAATGTAAGATCAAGTATAATATATTCTACCCAAATATTAAGGTGTGTTATAAATGAGGAAGAATTTCTTGCAATGTAAGTTTTTCTTTTAGAAAAACATATATACAAAAAGTCATGATTAAAGGTTTTAAATAGCCCTACAAAAGAAAATTTCATGCTGAATAGAAAAAAATAAGCATTGTTTTTCAATCTAAGGATATGTTTCAAAAATTGGTTACACAGTAGCATTAATCTTAATATTCACAATAGTTATAGTCTGCATTCTGTTACTAATTCAGTATAACTGAAACTTAATAATTAAGACCATACTATTTAAATGGTATAAATTGTTTGAAATTTAATATATCATGATAATTATACATAACAAGAAAGAAGAAAATTAAAGCTAAAATTTAAGATGATATAAAAGTAAACAGCACTCAGATCATTGCATTATCAATACCAATGAGACATGGACACTAAAATAAAGCACTAGCAAGGATGGAGTAAGCACTAATAAGGATGAAGTTAAATAAATAGAATACAAAATCACCAAGATCAGTGGCCTGGATAAAAAATCATTACTTTTTTCCATTTTTAGAGAAAAACACAAAATAGGCAAATGACTGGTAAGATTGAAAATGAAACAAATGAAGAAACAATATCAAAAGTAAAAGGAATATTTCTATAGGTACAGCAGAGAATTTAAGATTTTTCTATCAGTATATTTGAAATGTATACAAAATGGGTCGTTTTCTAGGAAAATAGAAATAAGGTTTTTTTGTGTATATGCGGAAAGAGGTCTTAAAAATCTGAATTGACAAATTCTTGTGGAATATAATATAAAAGGTCGCAGAACAAATGTCTTCCCTAAAGCACCTGTCAGTTCTATTCAAACCTTAAAAAATTGTTCATTGTTTATTCTGGTGATATTGAAGTATAGTAAGTATAAAGTCTGCTTGTTGTTTCATAGTGGATGTCCCTAAAATATTTTAGCTTAAAATAGCAAACATTTGTCTCCTCGCACATTTTTCTAAGGGTCAAGAATCTGAAACTGGCTTAACTGTGTGGATCTGGTTCCGTGTCTCTCAAGGAAGTTACAGGCGAACTGTTGGCTGGAGCTGCATTCCTCTCAGGCTGCAGGATCCACTTAGAGTCTTTTTCATGTGGTGGACGAAAGGACTCAGTTCCTTATAGCTGATAGACTGGGAGTTTCAGTTCTTTGCCACAGAGGTGTCTCCAGCGGTCTGAGTGTTCTTAAGACAGCACAGCTAGCTTCTCCATAGTGAATGATCTGAGAGAGTCCAATATAGAACCTGCAGCCTCTCTCTTTTTAAATCTAATTGTGGAAGTGACACGCTAACACTTCTGCCCTGCTCTGTTGGTTTATCTTCTGGCATAATGTAGACAGGCACCGCATAGGCTGTTAATACTAGGAGACAGGGAGCAATAGTGGTAACCCTTTAGAAACTGGTAACTACGAAAACTGAAATTTATTCTATGATGATTGCATAATTCTTACTCAACGTTATGCAGGGACAGCACAAGAGAGGTATAGACTGATCTCATGAATGAAAATACATGCAAAATTCCTAAAAAAAAATAAAAAGACTAAATGAAAAGAAGTGTTTATTATCAAGGTTCTGGGAATAATTCTAAATGTATGAAATCTCAATCAAATTTTCTGGCATTTGAACATGACTCAACCAATTTCTAGCTTTAAATGTGACTCTTGTTTCTCAGTTTCATTTCTAAAATGGAAATAGTAATGAAATCTACCTTAAATAGAGATTATGAAGATTACATGAGGTGGGGACCAGCAGTTAGCGTAATGGCTATGTCGCTGGACTCCCATGTAGTCGACCGTGGTTCGCATCCTGGACCCAGTGGCTTAAAACTCACACTGGGCGCATGTGCGTGCATGCCCAAGATCCCGAGAGGAGAATGGAGGAGAAGGGATTGCAGTGTGGCCATCCCCCCTGGGGGGGTGATTTCTCACTTTCTGTCTCTCTGTCTCTCTCTGTCTGTCTGGCGAGCGCACGCACCCTAAAAAAGTTTACATGAGGTGATAATATATGTACAACTTTTTGATTAGAGTATGACTCTGTACTTAATAGACTTATGTTTTCTAAAATATTTAGAACAACTCTCTTGGCTCTGTGTCTGGGGAATAGATCTGTATAGTGCAAATAAGAACAAATCCAGAACTATGACACTGGAACTCTTATCAGCCACATGGCTCTAGAATCTTCGTTCTTTAATCATCTTGGCTTATTTCCTTCAGTCATAAAAATGACAGGCAGAAGTATGAAACTATAGATTATTTATTGGATTTCTTCATGATTTCTATTATTGTTGAACAGGTATTACTTTTTATAATTAAATAAAATGTAGTAAGTCCTGTTTTAATAGGGAAAGCTTTTTTTTTTCTTGTTAATATAAGGAAATGTTAATATGCTTAATGACAGTACCCTACTGGAGTTATTTAAAGTGTTAAGATAGGGTGATAAGGAAAGATTAATATGAATTCTGTGCTGATAAATTGGGCCTTTAATATATATAACCAACCATGTTTAAAACTTTAAATGTTCTCAGACAAGGGATTATAATCAGAATAAAGTGGGAATTCAAGCAGCTCACACATTAACAAAAAAGGAAAATCCAATTTAAAAATGGACAAATGAGCTAAATAGACAACTTTCCAAGGAAGACTTATGAGTGGCTAAAGGTCATATGAGAAAATGTCCAGAGTCTCTTGTCATAAGGGAAATGGAAATTTAAACTACAATGGGAGACCCTTGAAACCCAGTTAGAGAGACCAGCAGTTAGTGTAATGGCTATGTCACTGAACTCCCATGTAGCTGACTGCAGTGTAAGTCTCGGACCCGGTAGCTTAAACTCATGCCTGGTGCGTATGCGTGAGTGCCCAAGATCCCGAGGGGATAATGAAGGAGAAGGGAATGTGGCGTGGCCATCCTCCCTGGAGGTTGAATTCTTGCTTTCTCTCTCTCTGTCTTTCTGTCTTTCTGTCTTTCTGGCAAGCACACGCTCCCTATAGCAAAAAAAAAAAAACTCTCAAAAAGAAAAAAATATCAGAAAGACTAGGCTCAGAAAAATGAAGACAGAGTGGTCACAGCTGGTGAGGGTGTGGTGAAAGAGAATCTTCTTACACTGTTGGAAGGAATGTATATTAGTAAAACCTCTGTGGAAAACAATACAGAGGTTCCTCAAAAATCTACAGTTCCTCCAAAATCTACAACTAGAACTATAATATGACCCAGTATCCCACTCCTTGGCATTTAGCCAAAGGGTAGGAAAACAGAAAGATACTTGCACATCCATGTTTGTTACAGCATTGTTCTCAATTGCTAAGCCTTGGACTCAACCTAAATGCAGCACATGAATACTATGGGGATATTACTCAGCCATTAAAAAAAAAAAATGAGATTCTATAGTTTGATTCAGAGTGGATCAATATAGAAGACATAAGGTTACATGAAGTGAGCCAGAACAATTTATCATTTAAAGAAATTTGCTGCTGACTCCATTAAATGTAAACTTACTGGTCACACACTTGAACAAAAACGAATCCAAATATTTCTGGACCAGGTTTTGATTTGATTTGTTTTTGTCCTTCTAAAAGAAGAATGATATGACCAAATAGAGTATATCCCTATGTGTCTTATATAGAATATATGAGTGTATAAGGTATATGTTTTATAAGACATAAATATAAAAAGAAACATTTGGAAGTAGTTAAGCATTTGAGGTCCAAATTCAAATGGCTATATTGTCTCCAATCAACTGGGCGACCCTGGACAAGTTATCAGACCTATCTTAACTTTGATTAACTTTTTTAGAAATTTGAGCCAGTAAGAGTAACTACTTTATGAAGTTGTAAAGGTTATCTGAGGTAATGAGTATAAAATATGAGCAAATTATTTTGCAGAGGAAGTTCTTAGTAAATGTTACTACTAAAAATTCTCTGGTAGTGTCTATGTTCAATAAATATTCATCTTAAATTAAGGTTATTAAATCAATTCATTTATTAAACATATGGAATATACTTTTTATTTTTACATCATAGTTTTTTTTTTCTCTAAATGATTTTTCTGTTTGTTTTAGGTCACTTTTCACATAGAACCATATAGCAATCGAGATGATCAAAACATGTACAAAAATGTCAAGTACATTATAGACAAGTGAGTTTCTTCAGAGTTTGTATTACTGTTATATGATTTGTGATGATTGTTGTAAGGGAGAGTGTATTTAAATTCTCTTTGAGAGGTTTGAATGATTATATGACATTGTTAGTAAAATTACATTAAATATTTGAACAAATGTATAATCATTTGGAGGAGTATTTCTGAAGTTCCATGCAAATCACTTTTTACATAAATAAAGACAGCTATTTTTACTACTTTTATGTTTTAAAACTATTTATGATTTCTGTTGTAGTGATATTTTAACTTGGTATTATCTTTAGAATCTTATGAATATAGAGTTTTGTCCTTTTACAAAGAGGTTTCAGATTATGACATGTGAACCACTTTTGTAGCAACAAACCCACATATAATATTCTCATTTATATCTACTCTGATTGCAATTAAAGAATTTATTGATACAATTTCATTTTATTAAAGGGTTTTACTGATAATTGTGACAGATGCTACACTTTTATAAAGAAACTTATCAACAACAATGGGACATTTATTACTAATACAAAAAAGTGTATTCATGTAGAAAATAATGAGCTTTTTACAGCTTTAGTCATCATTTGTTAACCTCAATATGGGATAATTAATCATTTGTTTAGTAATGTCTTATTTAGTAATATATTCAGTATCTCATTTTCTAATGTGTAAAATTAAAAGTGCATTTTTTAATTATTACACTTATATAACTGATTCTTCAAAGATGTGAACAGTGTGCTTAAACTGCCCTGCTTACTTTCATTTTCAATACATACACAGTTTTACTCTATGCAAATCAGTTGCAAATATTCATTTCAAATTTGCGTATTTTTGTATTCCAGATACGGAAGTCATCCGGCCTTTTACAGATACAAGACGAAGACCGGCAGTGCACTTCCCATGTTTTACATCTATGATTCCTATATCACGAAGCCCGAAAAATGGGCCAATTTGTTAACCACCTCAGGTTCCCACAGCGTTCGCAATTCTCCTTATGACGGATTATTTATTGCACTTCTAGTAGAAGAAAAGCATAAATATGATATTCTTCAAAGTGGTTTTGATGGAGTTTACACATATTTTGCTACAAATGGCTTTACTTATGGCTCATCACATCAGAATTGGGCTAGCCTTAAATTCTTCTGTGATAAATACAACTTAATATTTATCCCAAGTGTGGGCCCAGGATACATAGATACCAGCATCCGTCCGTGGAACACTCAAAACACTCGGAACCGAGTCAATGGGAAGTATTACGAAACTGCTCTGAGTGCTGCTCTTCAGGCTCACCCCAGTTTAATTTCTATCACCTCCTTTAATGAATGGCATGAAGGAACTCAGATTGAAAAAGCTGTTCCCAAAAGAACCAGTAATACAGTGTACCTAGACTATCGGCCTCATAAACCAGGTCTTTATCTAGAACTAACTCGCAAATGGTCTGAAAAATACACTAAGGAAAGAGCCACTTACGCATTAGATCCCCCACTGTCTGTTTCTTAATGCACTCATTAACAATTAATGATGAGTTTTATTAACTGCTATGGATAATACTTGCAATAGTCTATGTGGACATTTTTACTTTCATTTTAGTATCCAGTAACAACACTGTCAAAAATGTATGCATTTTAAGATGTTTATATCTACTAGAGGATACCTTAAAAAAGAACATATCTGTGTATTTGAAGTAAAAGTTTGGATTGAGTCTTCCTAAAGTGAAAGCTTTCATTTCGTTAGCCAAAAAATATACGTTAGGCAGATAGATGAAAAGCAAATTAATTTCTTAATATTAAGAGAGTTTTATAAACAATTTTCATATTTATCTAGAAAATAAAATCCTTCCTGTTGTATTAAAAAAGTTAAAATAGTGATCAAAATCACCTAGTTTCAATAGATGTCTTTCATTTTCAGTTATAGAAAGGAAACTGTCAAAATTTGAAGCACTGTTATTGCAATCATTTAATAAAATAATGTTAACACTTTTAAAGGTAGTATTATCATTGTCACCCTTCTCAGTGCACTGAGAAAATATCTGAGCTAAAAGTTGTACAAATAACATTGAAATTCTAACTTGATGACAATTAAATTTTCATTTAATTTGATTTTTATTTATAAATAAAAATTGTAGATAAATGCTTGTGTTACATAAAGCATTTAACACAAATTTAAATACTGTTTGCAGCCTTGGCCAAAAGGAATAGGATTGTATGTATGTTTGGGATGTTTATCAAAGAAAAAAGATCTAAAATTTTTTTTTTCAGTGATTCACTGAAGGTTATTATATTAGTATTTAGACCTTGGATAACTAATAATGATAAAATGCTTTAGCATAATAAAATTGCTGTACCTTCCTCTCAATCTTGCTCTGAATGTAAAACAGTTTTAAATAATGGTCAATTAAAGATTTCTTTAAATCATGTACCTTAAGTTTTACTGTGAATCATACTGTGTTGGAAAGGTCTGCTTTCTGCTACACAGTACGTAGTGTCATTGTCAGCAGCGTATGGATTACCTGTGGCATGCTAGGTGTTTTGCATGTTTAGTGTTTCTGCTCTACTGTGCTGAATTCCAGATTTTAGAAGCTATAGAATGTACTTTTATAAAAGTTAATAGATGCTTTTCAATTGTTAGGAAAACAGTTGTTTCACAATTGTTATGATGATACAATATCCAAAATATCATTTTTAGGATATGTCAATCTTTCTTTCTTGCAATTCTCCTGCCTCAGTCTTCTAGCTGGGAGTATAGGCATTCACCACCACGCCCATCTCTTTTTGAGATAGGATCTCACCATGTTGACCAGGCCAATCCCAAGCTCATGGTCTTCCTGCCTCAGCCTCTCTAAGTCACTGGAATTATAGGCATGTAGCACCACTCCTGGCAGACCAAGAATCAACATGGACCACCCATGTGGTTCCAGCCGGAGGAGCACAATATTCTAGCAGTATGAACCACTGCAGCTAAGCCTGTCAATTTTTAACTTGTAATCATTCTATTATTTATGACTTTAAATTTAATATTAAGTAGAGCCCGAGAAATAGCTAATAACCTTTATTTTAAGCTATGAAAGAAAAAAGTTATAAGAATTACTGTATTGTCTTTTAATATTGTAAGTTATTTTACCCAAAAGTCATAGAGAAATTTACTCACCATTTCAGATTTTAGAGCTATAGAGATGAAATTATTTTTTATATTTAAAGTAATTCCTAAAGTTTGGGTTTTGACTAAGTGTAATACTTTATGAGAATGGTGAAAATAATGTTTTATTTAAAAGATAGTACTTTCTTGTATGTAATAATATCCCTATTTTGAAATGTTACACTATTATGATAAGTAATTCTCATATTGTGATGAATTGATCCCTGTACACTGAATTGAAACTCTTTAATGTTTTTTTTTTGAGGGGGGGGAGGTTTTTATTTGCTATAGGATGTATGTGCTTGCCAGAAAGAGAGACAGAAAGCGAGAAATCATCCCGCAGTGGGGATGGCCATGCCAAAATCCCTTCTCCTCCATTCTCCTCTTGGGATCTTGGGCATCATGCACACTTGCTTGGCGTGAGTTTAAGCCACTGGGTCCTGGACTCGAACCATGATCTCTACTATGTGGGAGTTCAGTGACATAACCATTATACCAACTGCTGGTCCATAAACTCTTCATATTAAAAACTAAGGAATTGTTAAGTATAGTCTATCATTATAGTTAATAGTTGTAATTGTAACTACAGTACAAAATCTAATATTATGTCCTATTTATGAATGTTATTTCTTATATATTAGGAGAAATAACAGAGTAAGGCTAAAAAAATTAATATAGATCAGATTATACAGACACTATTTCAGAAACACAAATTAGCACTGGAGTTTATGGTAAAATAACCTACCAGATGATAAAATTTATTTTTAAGTGGTGATTGAAGTAATGTATGTTTTTAAAAATATTAATTTTAAACTGATTTAAGAATTTTCCATTTCTGAGAGAATAATTAGGCTATAGAAAATTAACACAATAGATATAATCTGATTATTTAGGAGAATTTATGAGAATCAATTACTATAATGATATTTTGATATCTCTAAGCACCTTTGTAGGAACATTCATACAGATACAACCTGTGGATTTTTTCCTCATATCCAGTTAAGCCACTGTTCATTATTCATTCTAGGAATAAATTGTAAATATTTCTTACCTAATAACCTATTATAACATACCATACTTTATAAAGTTTTGTTAGAGAAACATCTACTACAGAGGATTCTCCATCATTGCTTATTTTGCATATTTGAACTCACCACTATAGAAGATAAACTTTATAAAGTTGTTTTGAGATTAAGAGAAAGTCTATAAAAGCAAGGTCAGCAAATCCTCAACACAGAAACCACCACTTTCTATCATGTTCCTACCACAGACATAGATAATCCACTACATCATGCTTTATTGCTGACATTTGGTGTGATTCTTCAACACATTACCCCAACCACCCAGTAACAGTCACATTTCTTTTTCTTTTAAAGAATTATTTATTTAATTTATCATTATCATTTTATAACTTTTTTACGGGGCACATGCACTCAGCAGAGAGAGACCAAATGAGAGAGAAATTGAGAAAGCAACCTGCCACATCCAGGACTCAAACCATGGTCAGACATGTGGGAATCCAGCATCTTAACCACCATGCCACCTGTTGACCCCTCAGTCAGATTTTTTTTTTTTTTTGAGAGGTTTTTGCTATAGGGTGCGTGCACTGGCCAGAGATACAGAAAGTGAGAAATCACCCCCCAGAGGGGATGGCCATGCCGCAATCCCTTCTCTATTCTCCTCTCAGGATCTTGGGCATGCACGCACACGCACCCAGCATGAGTTTAAGCCACCGGGTCCGGGAATAACCGTGGTCGACTACGTGGGAATCCAGTGACATAGCCATTATGCTAACTGCTGGTCATGCCCCTCAGTCAGATTTTAAGGTCACAATCAAACAGATCCTGTCTCATTATGAAAAGTTTTTCTCAAGGGAAGAATGAATGTGTGAATCTGATGTCATAATGTCTTACAAGTTTATGATTATATGAATATCTTTGTCTTTTTTCCCTTTTATAAAAAAAACAGTTATTCAAAATTAGTAGCTATAATAGTTTTGTTAGTTCTTAGGAAGAAATGCTTTCCAAATTTTCCTCAAATATTATACAGCTGCCTTTACATTTGAGTTGTAACACGTTTAGATTGTTATGATCACAAGTAAATATATATAAATAGATTTCTTAATTCAAAAAACCATGTTTGAATTCAGTAAATTAAAATAACTGTTAAAACACAAAGTGACATAATATATGCCACTCATTAATCATAATTTGTTCTTTTATTAGTTATTAATTTTTAGAGGATAATTAGTCTAATTAATTTGACTAGGCATCAAACCTCTTACTGCTCTTTTTAAGGACTAATATTGTCAAAAACTACTGGTATTAATGTTTATTTGAGTTGTATGTTCACTTTTTGGGTTTTTTTTAAGACTTTTCTTAAGATTGTATATTTTAACAATTCCTATTTTGTTACATGTAATAGTTAATTTTCATCTAATAAAAGCATACATGAAAGAGGTATCTCAGATATTAAAATCTGTTTATTTCTCATTAGGAAATGTATTTAATTTCTGATTTACAGATAAAAAACAGTATTCAATTAGCAGTTTTTATGTTTTTATATATTTTCTCTATTGAAATAAATATGCAGCATTTACAATGTGCTTATCTTTAGCTGTATATACTTTAAGTCTATGAATTTGTACTGAATGTACATACATACACATAAAAATTTGGGAGTTTTTTTCCATTTTTTCTTCTTTGGATATGATTATTTATTAGCCCTGACATCTGTAAGAAAATCAAATTTCTAAAACAGTGTAGTGCCAAGACACCGGAGAACATGCCACATTTATATTCATGTGCTTTTCCAACCTGATCAGTTAATCAATTTAAATATTATCATCAATTCTATAGTATCTATAGACACAGTCCTTAAAAATCTGTATCTAAATTGCGGTCAGATACACTCACATTCCTTACTGTAAAAAAGCAGTGTTTGTTTTACAACCAGCAAAGTATTAGTTGCTTTTACAAATATTTACAATTTCAAAATGACGAATAGACTTATCCACATGCTTTTTGGCTCATAGCATTTCTTTAAAAAAAGTTACTTCAAATAATATTTTACACTTCTTATATATCCACACATGGGATAAATGTACTTAGTGTAAAATTATTATCGTTGAGAAATTTATTCAGATTCTGCTTTGACTTAATTATAAAGATTCCTTCATCCTTAGTTAAATCAAAGAAGTGATGGGAGAAGCAGTTTTCTACATGATTAGTTTTTGTGTGTTGTAATATAATAATTTATGGTAGCAAAAAAATAATAATAATAATTTAGGGCCCAATAAGCAAATAGCCATAAGTCTAGGATTTAATCAGAACAGTGGAACTTTTTTTTTTTTTTTTGAGAGGTTTTTGCTATAGGGCATGTGCACTCGCCAGACAGAGAGAGACAGAGAGACAGAAAGCAGGAAATCACCCCCCAGGGGGGATGGCCACGCCGCAATCCCTTCTCCTCCACTCTCCTCTC